ATTACCATATCTCAACCTATAGATATATATAATCTATCCTCTATCATCCCATTAAACCAGTATGTTCAGCAAATCGTCATTTCTACTGCCTCCTAATCTATCGCTATACGTCTATCCCCGTTCAAAAAACTCTTCGACCAACTCCTATTCCACCACCTACTTCATACTCGATCTTCAGCAACCATGTAAATATTTTTAAATTTTATGATCACAATTGCTTATCAACTATAATTGACAAGTATAATTTTAATATTATTCATGTCTATTTTTCTAATATAATATATACTATTTGAACTGTATCGAAAGTCGTCAGTGGAAGTCGGGGTTGCGATTTTTAGAAAAATCAGTTATATATATACATATTTCCCCGCTATATTTCAGCTTCCCTAGCGGCCTCTGTTTGACCGAATAAGCTGAAATGTGGTACATAGAGTTTTATACTGTTAAACTTTATAAAAATTTCGGCATTTAAGAACGTTTTTCCCTGTTTTTAAAGTATTGCGCATCTCCACAGTTCCTCCTAACAAAGTTGGAAGGTTGAAATATTGTAAATATATTAAGCTGGTGTTGGAGAGGTGTGGGGGGGGGGTCTCTATCACCAGCCGCCATTTTGTTTCAAGATGGTACCGGAAAAACCTGTTTCTCTATAGACTACAGCACTCAAACGGCTGTAACGGTATTGATAAAAACTTTCCTAAAGTATTCCCCAAGAAACAATATAAATTTATACATATAACATACTTTCTCGAAAAAGGATTAGAACAAGAGTTTTGATGAATGCAAAAGTTTATTAGTGAATAACTAAAAAATGGTACACTTTTTGTCCTTTCTGGCACAGAATATATTTTGAAGACATTTAAATTTCATAAACGATAAAAAAACTTTCATCAAAATCCGTAATTACAAAGATCCATCATACAGTTTCTTTAATACAAAACAATTATCAGCTTTAGAACATTTGGTAAATATTTTTAACAACATATATTTTACTAAACCGTCCGATTTAAATATTTTTTTTTTATTTTTAGGTAATTTAGTATACTTTCAAATGACAATATCAACAAAGAAGTTAATACTTTTTGTGTTTTTCGGATATCCAATGTTAACACGTAATTATTTTTTCCGCATTCTTTTGGGTGAAGTTTATTATAGAGATAAATTTAAAGTTCTTTGAGGAGAAGACTTTGGCCATCTTTCATTAAAATCGGTTCATCGGTTTAGGCACTGCGTCGTTTTTTTTATTTATATCTTCCTGGTCTTTAAAAGTCCTAATTCTGGTATGAAAATTTTTATAATTATATACTTAGCTTATTAAAAAGATATACTATTAAATAAATATTTTTAAAATCCAAAATCATTGTGTATAACTGTTTTCCAATGTGTTAAAAATCGTTCGCTATACATATTGAACTTATAACTATTTGAATAAACCATTGGGTAATAATTTTCAAAGCTTTTATTTCTCTATTTAACATCAATGAAACAATTTATCCTATTATATTTTTAAAAAATTAAAAATAAGTGGAAAATAGAACCTTAATGACGGAGCTCTGCTGCTCAAGTTTTTTTTTTTTTAGTTTTTATTTATTTATTTATTTTTGCTTTATTTCTACATGCCAGATTAATGTACATATTTCTTGAACTTTATCATTATTTTTAGAGAACTGTAGTTATAAAATAAAAAATATTTTTCATTCATATTTTTATTCCCTGTTGGACGCTTTCCCTCTGTAGTTGAACGATGTAAGCTATTCAGGCCATTTAATTTCGCTAGGCCTTACTTACTAGAGTTTTCTTTGATATATCTTTTTAGTCGTCCACTCCTCACTCATCCTGCTATAATAATTGTTATAATAATTTTACTCTGATGAATCTAAACAGCAGTACTTATTTTCCGTCATGCGTTGTGCGCCATTTTCTGAAACCCGATCGGATATTTGTCAGAAATACTTCCTGCCTAACCGGTTCAATTTTCCTGTACTTGAATGCTTCATATACCGATGTCGCCATTACTCTGATTATAGTTATATACAATGTATAAATTAAATGTCTGACCAAGAAATTAGCTTTCTGGGGCGCTTATAAATTGCACCATATTCCTTAGATAATATATGATGCCTATCCTTGCTCAAAATTTCTCCTCCTCATCGTGGTTCCCCTCTATACTCTGCTATGTTGGAAGCTCGACAAAAACTGCACACGCTTACGTGAGTTGACGATCTTCCCGCTATTACTTGAAACATCGGCTTAGGCAAGAATTTTTAGATTACAGTTTAAAATGTTTCCTCCCATCTATAATCCAGGTTTTTTAATGAGACTATAGACAAATATCGAGTCTCTTTGTCTCAGATATTGTTGCCCAAATGCGAGACCGAGGCGAATCTTGGTCTTGGAAATTCAGTCTTGGTCTTGCGCAAGAGTCTCGCTACAGTCTTGCATTTACTTATTAGCTTATTACTATAGAGATATTACAGTCATTTTTTTAGATAGGAGAAGCCTAACTAAGCTCGAATGAAAAATTAGAGGTGTTAAATGCAAAAGTATATTTGTTATATTAATTATTAACATATAGTAACTAAGATTGTCAAGTATTAGTAACTATTTTGCCTTAATTTATATTTAAAAACTCGATTTTTTTACCAGTCCTGGTCTTGATCTTGCAACAGTTAGGCGGCCTCGGCCTTGGGCAAAGTGCAAGACCAAGACCGATTTTGGGCATCACTAGTCTCACACCGATCCTAACTTAAATTTTTTCCTGTAACTGATACTTTGACTTACTTAAATATTATTCATTGTTTACATTGTTTTTTTTTTGTCATTAAATATATTTAAAAGACAAATCTTCTTCTCGCATTCAAGAGCATATTTTAACCAATATTTTTAAAGTTAAATACAATCAGAGGGAAACCTGACCGTGGCCACTGGCGAAGCTGTTATCTATGCAAATATCAAAAAGAATACTAAAATGAGAAAGTTACGTTTACAAAAAGAGGTTATAAAGAATTCAGAGAGGTCCTCTATCAATTCACATGTTGCGTTGGGCTAATCCGGCACAGGCGTGACCCGAGTCGTCCCCGCCGTGCTTTTGCTCATTTTGCTCTGAAAGGAGTCAAAAGGGACTTGATATCTGCTTAGCCATAGCTCTCATAATATGCATTATTCATGTCACGAATTCAACTCTTACACATACTTGAAAAATGTATACATATTTTTAGAAGGTCCTCATAAACTCATATACTATTAAAAAGAGCCTTATTATCCGCTAAATTAATATTCATAACGGGCGCTCCTATCGTTTTATAATGAAAAAAGAGCTCTTTGAGATTTTTATTTATGTGATGTGCATATCAGCATGATTTATGGCTTCATGAAATTACCTTGTCTCTTTGAACCTCTGAGTTTATAGTATATCTTTGAAACAGGCAGACATTTACGGAATGAGGATACAAGAGTACAAATAAACTGTTGACTAATAAACTTACGATAAATAATATTATCAAGTCGATATAATAAAAACATGATATTAATTAAAAAGAATTGAGAAAATTTAATTATTTATTTCTAAATTTAATCTTTTCGTCAATGTTTTTACTTTTTTAGGTATACTAGGTAAGGAAAATATGGCGATCGGGTAAAATTTCTGATATGCGGTTTTCGACGGATCTATACGTTTCACAGCCTCCTGAATTCGAAAAACACATTTGCAGCCATTGGTCTGTCTGTCTGTGCCAAGATTTTCTCGAGAACTAGTGAAATGATTTTGTTGCTTCTCTTTTCATTTTTCCAGAGTTTTAGCTACTGTAGCTTAATATATGTGCTAGTGGACGGTGCTGAAACTGTCGGTGTGTCCCTGGCCTGATCGAAGCTCTATTTTTAAAAATTCTAGCTTTGAAGAGGATCCCATCGTTGACTAATAAAAAGAAAATACCTGGATCGAAGCTTCAATAAACAGAAGAAATGAACATTCAATAGTTCATTAAATAATTAATAAGTGACCTTATTCCTAATTAAATAGTTAAGTTTAAATTTAATACTCAAAGTTCGATTAAGGAAAAGTTGTAAATATATATATATGTATAATTAATTAAAATATATATATATATATATATATATATATATATATATATATATAATTTATTTACGTATTTTATGTTTTCCGTCGTGGATAGGCTGAGCCGTTGATAGAACTTCTGTAATCCACTCATCCTTTATAAAGTGAGAACTCCTAATTGGGGTGAGGATAACCCGGGAGATTGGAAGATAGTGCTAACCACTTCATCTCCTAGTACCGAAGTTAAAGAAATAGTACTTTTGAGCTAATTTAATCATATATATATATACATACCGTTCGCCCGAATAGTACAAACTTTGATCCGGAAATTAGGATATATATCGAACACTGCGTTACAAATTTCAATAACCGTTAATTACAAAATTGAAAAAATGAACTTATTCCACGTTTATACAACCAATATACGAGGAAAACGTGTTTAATTAACGTGACTTAAGACTATAAACAAATGAATTAAAATTAATGTTAAAAAAGAATAACCATGGGGATAATTGGCTTCGTGAATTGAACTGTCTCACATTTAACGAGAGGGAAAAAGTTTAAAAAAAAAAAATCATAATTCAAGGAAAACAAACAAATTTCATTACCTGTAGTTGAATTTAACTTTCATGGGAAATGTCAGGTATATTTTTTTTTCACCTCCTACCCTCCCCCCCCCAAAAAAAAAACCTATAAAAGGTTTTATCTTTACGAACAGAGATTGAAAAATTTTAACAGCAGCCATAGCATGCATCATAAATCTGAAAATTGATCCCAACCAACGACTCAATTATACTCCGGGTCGATGTAGCGTAACTAGCGTAGCGTCATCGTGTAACGCCGTTTGCTAGCACCTAGATCGTTTTATAAAAATAAAAATAAACATTTTGTTGATGTTTACATACATTATCTTAATAAAATTTAATCATTGTTTAAACATAAAACTGACCTGTACAGAGGCTCTCCGGCGGAGTCCTTGAACCAGAGAACCATGTAGACAGCATCGTCTTTGTCTCTTGCGGTGATATCGCAAGGCAGGGCTGCCTTTTTACCCAGGACCCCCTCGACATCGAAGATGGGAACTGAAATAAAAATACTATATTAAATACAAATAAAAAATAACTAATCATAGATTAATCATATTTATACGCCAAGAAAAATATAGAGAAAAGGCTGAAAAAAGGCTGAGTTGTGAGTGAGTGGGGGGATGGGAATAGGATGGGATAGTAGAGGAGTAGGGCGGTCTTTGGTTCGTTTCGTTGGTTTCGATGTCTAGGCGCAAAACATCCAAATCAGCTCTCGATCAACTAAATGACACTAGTTTCATACTGTTTGGATGGTTGGTGCAAAAAAAAAAAAAAAAAAGTTAACAAAAAATAAATAAAAGGATTGATAGAATAAAATGAATAAATAACAATAGACACTTACAGATCATAAGATAGAATAGAATGAAATAAATAAAAAAATAATAATAATAAATCTGCAAAGGATCGTTAGTTCTAAACTTGTCATATATGTTGTTTAAGTATTTCATTATATAGGAATTTGATAACTTTGGTAACGATTTCTTCTTGATTTCTCAGGAATGCTGATGTATTCTGGGTATTCCGAAATCTTTTAACCTTGCGGTGTAAAAAGGTCACTCTTCCAAAACATGTTATTTGGTTAATGACTGGTCATACTTTTGACACCTGGGTATAAGTTCTTTTGTTATGAGGTGGAGGTATGTCAGTCTAGTATGCCCGATCATCAGCCGCGTGAGGACGACCTCTTCTCTACGACTGCTGAGTCTGGAGCTGGTCCACGGTTGCAACTAGTTTTTTATTGTCTTTAATTTGCTAGGCGCGTTGTTGTCCCACCGTCTTTGCCATTCTTGGGATATGGTTTCTCTTCGAGGTCGTGCAAGTTCAGACGGTGTCAAAAAAGCTTTACCGCATCCTGAAAGAGTATCAGCCATTCCATTTCCTTTAATGCCTATATGGCCAGGCGACCAGATAAAATGTGCCATTGTTCCAACTCCATGAAGAATTTTTATAAGATTTAAAATGCAGTGTATCTCTGGATGGTCTGGATACATGTTATTCATGGCTTTCAGAGTACTTAGGAAATCCAATACCACAACTAAATTTGCAACTGGCTTCTTCATGACGTATCGGAGACTCATTGCTACGGCGTTGATCTCTGCTGTGTAAACACTACAAAGATGATGTAATTTATATTTGTAGGTAGTATCGGGGGTGACAAAGGCTGATGCAATAGATGTATCTGATTTGGATCCGTCTGTGGGTATCAGAAGATGTTTAGGTAAGGTGATGATGACGGTCTTTAGGTATTTCGTGTAGGTATATTGGATAGCCCCATGGTGGGCTCGAGTTGTGTCATGGTATTTTACTAAAACAACAAAAACAAACAAATAAAATTTCTGCCGTCAACTCAAAGATGTTTGGTTGGTAGGTATGTTACCACTAAACACTATAGAGGTATTACTGTCATTTTTCAGAATGGGGAAACATAACTAAACTCCGAATGAAAAATTAGAATAGTTAAATTCAAAAGTATATTGGTTCTACCAATTCTTTAGATATAGTAACTAAAATTGTCTAGTATTAGTATTTATTTTACCTTAATTTTTATTCACAAAAACGCCCTTTTTTTTTACCAGTCTTATTCTTGTCATCTTATGACAATTACTATATTGGAATTTAATGTTATACAAATTTGAAATATTAACATTCTTCTTAATTATATGTATATATATATATCAATATCGTTGTTATTTTTGTATGTTGAAACAATATCTTTGTAAATTTAAATTTTTTTCATAGTATAATAATGGTTTGTACTACACCCATGATCGATGAACTTGTTAAATCGCGGTTTTGTAATTATAATAACAAAAGGAATAGCCATTGTGATACCGAAAGATATACTTTTGGTAAAGTAAGTGCCGCGGAAGTTAGAAGCGACTTCTTAACATAAAGACTGTACCAGCTCGTAAATACCATCCGGAGTTGAGGGGGAGAAACACTATAACTGTACAGTTAAAGGGAGATTGTGCAGGGAAGCTGCAAGATAACACAGTCAATCTGGAAATGTCTTTGGATGGCTATAAAGAAAGAGTTTGTGGCGACTTGGGGGTGGAGGGGTGGAGGAGGGGGTAAGAAACTTCCAAATGAGGCCCTTCCAGTCGAATCAATAAGCGAGAAGTAAAAAAAAAAAAAAGAAAAAAGGAAAGCCTTCCATGCCGAAATACTTACGTTTGCTTTTGGGATTATCTTCGCACTTATTCCATAAGGTCTAAAATCTTTTCGGAATGGGATTCAAGCTACAAATTAAGAGAACAAAATCGTATTCAAGCTAATAATTATGCTTCGTTAACCAAAAAGACGGTAGAGGAATTGTTTTGAACATTTTTTTTTTCGACTTCACAAAATTTTTTTTCAAGCCACAAGGCTGAACGAATTGCAGCTAATAATACAAAGAATATTTTTCGAAATAGACATAAATTCCAACAAGCGTTACAAATTTAGAAATTCACCAGAAATCAGCAAAATTGTGCATTTTAGCTGGATGTAAAAACCGAGGGGAAATTTTTTCAAATCATTTACCAGAAAATAAAATGTATATCTATAGAGAGTAAAACAAAAAAGAAATTACTCAAAATGTCTCCCTTTTGCACTGACACAGGCATTTAATCTCCGTGGCCAGTCACCACTTCTTGAGGAAAGCGATCAACTGCTCGGACCAGAGATTGTTTGAGGGTTTTCAAGTTAGGATGTGCTCTCTGGCATGCCATCCTCTCCAGTTCGGACAAAAGCCGATAATCTAGTGGGCTGAGATCAGGGCTTCCTGAAGGCCAATCCGAGGCAGAGATGAACTCTGGAATGTTCTTTTGCAGCCACTGCTGCGTTTACCTCGCCTTGTGAGCTGGAGCGGAATCTTTCTGGAAAACCCAATGACTTCCAGCAAACAGAGTATCATTTAGGGGATTGAGAACTAGTTACAAAGTATCTTCCTGATAGTTTTTAGCTGTTTTAACTCCTTTTTCACAAAAATGGAGCTTTGTTGTGCTATCAAAGCAAACTCCCCATCAAACCATCATTGAGCAAGGGTGATGACCTCTGTCCACTCTTCCGATGAGTTGCTAGGCTTCTTTAGAGCTGTGTGCGTACACACGATCATTTTGGCGATTAATTTTTTCTTCAATTGTAAAAGTTTTCTCATCGCTAAACAAAATCTATCTATGAAAACCATGGGTGTAACGGCCAAGGAGTACTTTACATCTATTTAATTAAAATTAAATTAAATTACTTCAGCTATCATCTATCTAATAGGAAGTGGTTAGCCTTTTTCCTGTCATTCTTCGATATGCACCCATCCTAAGGTCACTTTCTATTATGCGAGACATTCATCTGACAGAGATTTCCATTTCCCGATACATCATTATTTGTTTTAGAATGGAATTTCTTCTGATTCGAACAGCTACTCCTCTTAGTGCCTTTCCCGGTCTCACAATGCGGGGACGTCCCGGTCGAGGTCTGTCACATATATATAGGGTCTCATTATATTTATTTATAGTGCGGTACACGAACATACATTTTCCATATTTGTGTAATGCGATCATAGCTATTCGGTTTTCATTATCACCCTACTCCATGTTAACTGAGCGAAAGAAAAATACAAACTAATTAGAATTATTATCCTGACATGTAAAGAAAATAACCTGATAGAGATAAAGATTATCTAAATAATACCAAAGGATGTAAACAAAGTTCAACTTATGTCAGAACCATGTATTTTTGTGAAATGTCTCCATTTCAAAATAGTTGGTTTTCTTAGTGAAGAGTTTTAAAATTACTTAATATAATTTATAGAGAACTTGTACCAAGTTTTTTCTGTAAATTTCAGTTCTATCAACACATAGCGCACAAACCTGTATATTCCTTCTCATAAGACATCTTAATTTGAAAAATCCTTTATGATGCGTGCTATTTTGTTTCGGAATTCCTTATCTGCCTCCTTATCTAAACCTCAACATTGATTTCATTTAAAAACCAATTGTTTCTCTATCTCCTTAGCTGTCAATCTATTTATAATAATATTTATAAGAATATAAATATGTTACCAATTTTATTCTACCTTCAATTCACAGTTATTATTTATATTGCTTACCATGCAAATATCTAAACACACGGTCATCTAATCACCTATAAATTCATCATGTTATATTTATATTTAGAGTACCACTTTATTTTTATTTTAATGTTACATAACTTTTGAACCTAATAATTATTTACCAGCCATTATGTGCCAGACAAATCTGTGTTATCATGCAATTTTCATTTTTGATGTTTGTTATTCTTAGGGGACTAAACGTCCCATAATTTACTTTATTATTATTACTATTATGGGACTATAATTACTACAGTCTATAATTATGGGAATATAATTATTACATAGTAAAATTTACTTCTATTATGTAAATATACATTGATAATATATTGATAAATATACAATTTCATATGAATAAAATAAATTGAAAATTAAGAAGAAGAAATCCTCGAAACTTGGAAGCAGCACTTATTTAAAGAAAATAATAATAAGGAATAGAGTTTTCACAGAATATCTAACATAATAAAAATATAGCTTCCTAGAATCATGGTAGCTAGGAAGCGCAGTGATTAAGGCCTGGTACCTCCTATTCTTCCAAACTCGGATTAGAGTCCGGTATGGCAGTGTATCGACAACGTTGTAGCGGAAATCTTTTGTAGTACATCCAGCCTCTATAAAGGGGGTACTCTTATTTGGGGGAAAACCTGGCGGTAGAACATGATAATGCCCAAGTCTCATTCTTCCACGTCAGCCAAGAAATGGTAACTTTACCAAGTACTGAAACCACGACCTTTCAACAATTGCAGTGATAAAGGTTTTATATTGATCATCAAGTAGAAAAGTAATTCATCTTTGATATTATTTTTAATCTCAACCTAAAGTATAGAGCGAGAAAAATCATGCCCACTAAATGATACAAAACCGAATAATAATCTAGATCAAATAATGAGTATATATTAAATTTGTTAGT